TGATTATAAATAATGCATACTTTTTTCTATAATAGTATACATGGGTTAGTTTAAAGGTAGATTTAAGAGGTATTTTTTTGTTTTTAATAGTACGTAGTATACGTGGATAATCTAGATGTAAGTTGAAAGGTTTTACTTTACATTATCTTTTATGCTGGTAGTGACATATAATTTAGATGTAAACTTATAGGGTAACTTTGGATTACCTTTCATAATAGCAAATATGAGTAAGTTACTTACACATCTAATATTAAAGTGCGTAGTGAGTGCCTTTACACCCTCCATCCCTTATGTAATCCGTGCTCACGATTCGTGCTTATATAAGTTAGAACAAACTCGCGTCTAGCAATGGTAGAGTCATATTCCAAGACATATTCCAATTCTATTACAACGCACATGCATGTTGCTAGTTTTTTAAGAAGTGAAAAGAAATCAAATGGCTAATTTTTCCGACGATGGTTAGAGTTTACTAAATTAATAGTTAGATGTTATATGTTTTTAGAATTTTAATTTTTTTATAGCATAACATATGAGATTCTAATCGACTATAATGAGGTAAGCTACACTACTAATTTAGTTTGGAATCTATACACTCTAATAAAGGTGTCCATATCATTCACCACCAAGTGTCCTAGTAACTTGCAATCCTTTCATGCAAGCTATCTATGTCATTCCCTTAATTACAAAAATTGTCTTAATTATGTCTATTATGTGCGGTCCTTTTAATCTTTAATCTACCAACGTACAAGTCATTTATACATCTTTCTGTCATTTTATAATATAATCTAATATTCAATTGACTTTTATTATATATATACTCCCCCGCCCTAAAATAGATGATATTATAGGATTCAAATTTTATCTCAAAATACTTAACCTTATAACATCACAATACATCTTTTTCTTTTTTTCAATAGACCTTTCTCTTTTTCCAATCGGAAACGCTTAGCCACGGGCGTCTATCCCATCCAGACATGGCTCCTAGCGCAGCGGACTGGCCTCCCAAAAAAATCCCCACTCCGCTCATCCGCCCATCGTGGCGTGGTTGAGCATTTCCGGGCCGCTCATCTGTCCGCCCCATCGTGCCCGGCCCCCCGTCGCGGCGTCGCGATGTGTCCTCCCCCTACGATGCCTCACCCCATCGTCGACTGCACCGCGCCCCATCCCCGGCAAGTAGACGGCGCTGGACGGCAGCTGCCGAGCGAGCAGCGGCGCTGGAGTAGTAGCAATAGGGACGTGCTGACGGGCGCGAGCCTAGGCTACGAGCAGGCATTGGAGAATCGCATGAGGGCTGCGCCACTGCTGCACTGGCGAGCTCCATACGCCGCTGCCAAACTCCACGCCGGTGCCGAGCTTTGCAACGACGAGCGTCCATTCGTCCAAGCAGCAAAGTGACATTGTGCTGAAAGCACATATTGCAAGCGTATGTTTCAAGTGTTTCAGATGTTTTAGAGGTATGTTATAAGTGTTTCATGTGGATGTTGCAAAAGTAGATCGAGATATTGCATATGTTGCAATGGTTGTACACGTATGTTACAAGATTCTGTTCTCAATGTTTCATCTATTTTTTCCAGACTTATGTTGCAAGTGTGTTTATTTGTATGTTGCATATGTTTTACACAAATGTTGCAAGTGTTTTATCTGGATGTTGCGTATGTTTTACAATGGTTTTCAAGCGTTTTTCATGTGTTTTTGCAAGGGTTTCATATGCATGTTTCAAGTGTTTCATCTGCCTTCAAACGTATGTTGCAAGTGTTGCATCTAGATGTTTCAAAAGTAGATCGAGTGTTACATCTCTCTCCTCGCTTTCTGCTGCATTGCTTCGGTGTCTCCTCCTCCTCCCGGCGCCGGATGGGCATCTGCCGCCCTTCACCCTCTTCTCCGTGCCGGTGACGTTCAGCGGTGTGGGCCCCGTGTGGGCGCACGAAATGGCACGGGAAATGGCTACAGGCATGGGCGTCCGAACGCCCAGTCCGTGTACTAGCAAGCCTGTTTTCCAATATATCTTTATCTCTGTCCTTGTTCTCTATGCATCACACCTTTTTCACTTCTAAAAATTTTCTGTGTGAGACAGAGGGGTTATAACAAATTTATTTCTAAGAAAGTTTTGCGGCAACGCACGAGAAATTCTATACCATATATGACGTTTGAAGACACGTGTTAGTGTTGGCTATAAGTACCAATCGCCAGCGAGGACGATGGGATCTGCACGCACACGGCATGGCGATTGCCGAGTGCATGCCGACTTGCTCCTTTTCGTGCACTGCCATCCCGACGTCCTCCGCTCTGATGGGACGCAGCAAAGCGATGCAAAGTCGCACAAGCAGAAAAGCTAGGAGAGCAAGCGGAATCCAGATTCCAGCATATCGTCCGTCCCCGCGTTCCTGCGTCGCGTTGTCGTGCGGTTCCTTTCGGCCAAAGTCCCATCTCAAAAGCGCCGAGGCCGCGCTGCATGATCACTGATCCCTCCCTCGTAGCAGAGGGATGACCCAGAAAGGCTGCAATGACACATGGTGGATGGCGCTGCGCGGCACGGAGGATTTCGCTTGATTCGGCAAGGAGAAACGCACCACGCATACACACACATGCTGCAGTAGTGCAGTAGTTGGCTAGTGGGGCGGCGGGCAACGCAAATGCCATGCCACGGCACGCGGGCGCTCCCAGCGCCCGGCGCCCGGCGCCCGGCGGGCGGGCGGGCAGGCCGGCCGGCCGTTGCGTGCGCACTAGCTAGCTAGCTGCTCGACCGACCGCCTGCGGTTTCTGCAGAAAGAAACCCAAATGGCCAAAAGTTGGGAGAGAACTCAGACAAGCAGCTCGGTCTCGGTGCGCTGGTAACGTGCTGGCTGCTGAATGCACGTATTCCCTGCGGCCATCAGAAAAGCGAAAGCCAAAGCGACGGCTTTGGTTGGTCAATGCGGCGACAGCACTAGCAGCAGCGAGCCTCATTCCTCCTCACTTGCCTTTTGTGTGGCCTCGCTACTCATCAAAAGCAACAAGAACATTGGAGACCTTTTCCGAGTCATGCAGCCTGTTCGCTTGCTCGTAAACGATCGTAAATTTCCAGCCGAGAACAGTATTTTTCTCTCACACCAAATCAGCCAGCAGTAAATAATCCACGATACGATACGGCCTCCCGAACAGGCTGATGGTTCCTGCAAACGACTCTGAAATCAGGAGCAGGCATGTACTACGTACGTCAGTATACTAGCTACTGTACTCGCTTTCATCAGCACTCAAATTTTTTTTCTGCGAGGAGCAGGTACTACGTACGTCAGTATACTGATTGTACTTCCTTTCAGCACTTAGGTTCAGGCGCGGCGGTAAAAAAAACGCCTCTTTGGCAGCATTTTTAGCTTGTTATTATTGTTACACCAAGCTCTACCAAGCGTATTCTTATAAAAACAGCTCTGTGAGAGAGCTACAAAGGAAGAAGCCGTTTTCCTAAATATTACTTCTCTGCTTTGACACCGTTTACAGAGAAACCTTACCAAACAGGGCCAAATAAGACCCACCAAAACATCTCTGCAGGCTGTACAAACATGACCAGATGCCACAGTGCCCCTTCACCTGCAAACCCTGTTCTACCAACTGAGACAATCATTTCAAGTACGTATTAAGTACTACGTACCCACCTTGTTCATTGCACAAGTACCTCGATCAGGTGTGTGGGCACCTGATCGATTTGGGAGGCCCTTAGCCCCTTGTCTCATCATTAACCCACCCCCAATATGCGCGCCAACGCCGAATCTCGCTTCCAACGCAGAAAGTGTGTGGATTCCAGCTCCGGCCGCATCATCGCGGCGAGCTCATGATTGCCAGTCCGGCGCCACGAACGCAATGCATACAATAAGCAACAAGATCCTCAAAAGCTATCTGCAAAGGGATGTACCCCAGCATCAGGTCTGAAATCTGAATATAACAGTACAGCGCACTGCTTGTTTTGCGACATCTCCATTTCATCAGTGTGCCCCCATCTCCCAACCGATCGATCTTAGACTCACTAAAATGACCTGAGCAAGATCTGTCACTTCTTATATTACACATGGGGCTTGATTCTAACTACGAGCCCCGTGGGGACAAGTGTTCGTTTGTTTTGTACTCAGACGCCCAACACAGCAACCGGCCGATTGTCTCATCCTTTCTCTGCAGGAACATGGACTCTAGAACGCAGCTGCTCATCCACCGGCTACGGATTTGTCACACACACATCAGCTGCTGACTTCGGCGATGCTGTGGAGAGAAGGGCGCCAATGGCGATGCCTCGCGCCAGAGTGGGCTGCCGAACTTGAGCTGCTCCGTTGGCCGTCCTTTTCCTGTCGCGACAGTTGAAGTTAGATGGCGGCAGTAGAGTAACGGTAACCAGAAGATGAGATAATCTATCCTGTTGAGCTAAGCTAGTTTAAACATCAAATGACGACTGTAAACAATATCTAGTTTTTTTTTGTCTGTCTGTCTGTTAGTGCTCATTAGCAATGAATCAGTGGCTTCTTGGCCTTCTTCCTGCTAGCATCATGCATCCATGTTCCATGCATATTCTTCGCCTATCTGACTGTCTTATTGGATTGCAGAATGTCAAACATAGTTTTCTAAATATATGATATCAGGATGCAGCTGAAAAACTTTAATTCGGTGCATCACATCCCTACCATTTCCATGTGACGTGACGAAAAAGCAAGATGTGACAAAGGTATTACTATGATATTACCTAGTTTTGTTCCAGAATAATTTGCCCGCTTTTTTTTAATAACCAGCCATTATATCATGTTTCGAGTAAATTATTCGAATTATTCCTTGTATCTTGATCATCGATTAGATTACTTTATAGTGATATCCTTTGCAATCAAATTGGTTGGTTAGGTAGGTACTAGTGGCGCATAAAGGTATAGATAATTAGGAGGGTGGGCAGCTAAATATAGAAATATGAACTGGAATAAGCTACGTAAGCCAATTTACCTAGACAATACTAGGTACTTATCAACTCTTATCCTTCCGAAAGGCTATCACCTACTCTTATTTATATCAGTCAAACAAAACATAATTTGTGGCAGGAAGGAAAATCCGTAGTGGACTTGTGTAGTCATAGTCATAGGGAAAAATTGAGACTGGAATTACAAGCAAATATTCAGAAGAGAACGTCAAGCAGGTAATGATACTGTCAATCTTTTTGTTGGACAATGTTTTGAGCATGTAGTATGAACTATTGGGCTGATCGAAGAGGATGCACTAAGAACATCTAAAATCAAATCCATGGATGAGCTAATCCAATTAGTAGAATAATGTTCTAGAACAGAGCTGTGATGAACAAGAAAACAGAGGAGAGACCGAGAGATTGTGTAGTAACCATAACCATTGGAATTGGATGGTGATCACAAAGCAAAAGTAGTACCTGATCAAGGCTGTCATCCACCACCTGCTGCGGCTGCGAGTCATCACCGGAGCTCGTCCTCCCACCGGCGTGCTTCGGCTGAACTACCACGTGCTGCAGCAGCTGCTGCTGCGCCATCCGGGTCTTCTCCTCCTTCTTGGCCTGCAGCGCCTTGGTGACCTCGGCGACGGTGATGAGGCGGTACGCCTGGCCGAGCACCAGCGTGTCCCGGGGCTTGAGCAGCTTCACCCGCGTGACGCGAGCGGCGCCGTGCCTGTGCTGCTGCTCCCCCTGCTGGGACCGCTTCTCGTCGTCGGCGACGGCGTCCGCGCGGTGCGTGACGAGCGCGACGTAGTGGCCCGGGTTGGCGCGCATGACCTCGGCGGCGCTGGTGGCCCAGTAGAGGCGCTGGACGCGGCCGCCCGGGTGCTGCACCACCACCGTCGCCGCCTCCGCCGCCTGGCAGTTGCCCATCCTCGATCGATCAGCGCTCCCTGCTCCTCCTCTGCCGCGCGCCCGTGGGTGTGCACTGTGCAGTCCAGGGGAGGGGAGGCACGCACAAGTTGGTGGTGCTGGTGGCGGCGGCCGCGAGCGAGCGGCGGTGTTATGATTTATGAAGCAGCGGTGGGCGGTGGGTGGAGCAGACTGCCTGTGGGTGTGGCCGTGTGGGGTACTAGCGACCGACTGAGACGGCGCTGCACGGACGGATCGAGATCCAGCGGCGTGGATTGGTTGGCTCACCGCGCGCTCGCGCCGGCCCGCGTCGTCGTTTTTTGTTTGGGTCACCGGCTCACCGCTCCCTCTGCCCTGCAACCATGGAGCGTGGCGTTGGGCCGTTGGCTGAGCGGGTAGCGTGCACGCGCGGTGGTGCATCTAATCTGGGGGTAACGGCAGGGCTACTACGGTCGTCGTATTTGTTTCGCTGGACGGCATTTACTAGCCTAGCCAGGCTGGGTAAAGCCAGGCCTAACAGGTGCAGCAGCATCTTGTTTGGTGATTTTTTCCAACGGGACCAGATCCATGCGGGAATGTGTTTGTTTGCCTGAGACTGTTGCCAGTGTTTTCAACCATCTCCCAACTAACCGGGTGGCCTTGGAAACTGACTGTCTTCAGGTTGTGCAATTGTGGAAGAAGGAGTCACAAAGATCCATCATTGATCTTATTCTGAAGGAGATGGAGGAAATTAGCCTTGTGTTTCAAGAGTTTTCTTTCTCTTTTATTAGTAGAAGTTCTAATAAGGTTGCACATTTGTTAGCTCGTCAGGTTTCTAGTTCACATTGCTCGGAGGTGTGGCGTGTTACTCCAGCATGTGTGTATGAATTGATCATGGTTGAGGCTTCGGCCGGCTGATTTATGAAAGGCAAGCAATTCAAAAAAAAAACTAACCGGTTGGGACGGTGTTTGGTTGGCTGGACAGCTCGGCATGTATCTCAAGATCACAGTTTTCATACACAAGGCAATAAAGTAGTTGTTGCAACATTTAAGCAAATAACAAAGGCAATGTAGTTTAGTAGTACTAATTAGATAACAGTTTACACAAATTCAGTGACATTACAACATGCTAAATCACATATTACAAGTAATACATAATTGATACATCTAATAACAATTACTCTAACAGCTATTACATCTGTTTAGCCTCGTCCACATCACAGTAACCAAAGCACAAAGGAAGAGCATGATCACATTTTTGTAACTCATTGGAGAGGTTGTTTCTCCACTTTCAGTGACAAGTTAGAGAAGAAGGTTTAGAGGAAGGCATTGAGTTGGTAGTTGAGTTGAAAGCAGCCATTGTTTGCTCATAAGAGTTGTACTTCTTATGCACAGCTCCACGATACCCCAGTACATGCTCACTGCACTCAGCCCAACTGGTGTAAACACCAGGTTGCTTTCCATTGAAAATAACATACCAAGCACACATTGTTCTACAGTTAACAAGCAGCAAAGTTTCAGTAAAAAATGTTTCAGGTGCAAGCCGCCGGTTTGTTCAATGAGGCTGTCTAGTCCAGTTGTAGTGGTAGACAAACTCAAGAAACAAACCGTTGGAATATACATGGTAAAGGTGCAGTAGACATCACAGGCAACTGTAGAAATGCCTCAGCTATTCATCTTTTGCATCATAGGCGAAAGAAAAATGTATGTGGCCTCAGATATAATCATGATTTAATACCTTCTCATAATAGTCACTGGTGGCACTGATGAAGTAGCAAATAGAACAAAACATAGGAGGGGGTGTTTGTTTGCTTAGAGAAGCCAAATGTAGACAGTAGAAAACCAAGATCATGACAGCCATAGAAGCATGAGAGACGTCCAACCCAAGCCATTAGAGCATCAGTGAGAGAGCAGTTGCTTGGGTATGGATGTCTTACATGTTTTGATGACAGGCATGAGAACCAAAAAACCAGCACAAAGAGAGATAGAAACATAAGCTGTGCCACCTCTATAACATAACCTTTTATCATCATCGGCCTTAACCAGTAGGAAACCATCAAAGTCAAAATAACCAAGTTCATGACAGCCATGGAATCGTGAGACACATCCAACCTGAGCCATCAGCAAAGAATAGAAAGAGCTGTTGCTTGGGTATGGATGTATCTCACTGTCGGTGTTTTATAAACCGGACTAGTAAACTTATACGATTACCGCGCTACTCTAGGAAGACGATGGTAGCTGTAACACTCTAGGTGTTTGGCTTTCACTGAATTGCATGTCATTTCATAAACATATGCATCATCTATGTCATCATGCCATTATCATTGAAACATACATATGCAACATTCGCATATTCTGTTTGTTTTGTACTTTATTGCTTATGAATGGTGGTAGTGCAACATATGAATGCAACATGAATTTCTCATACCTTGAAGCATGGCAACATGGTAGTAATGTGACAAGTATAGAATAACAACAAAGTCATGCAACATGTGAAACATTGCATTGCAACATATGAGTGAATTGCTTGTTTTAGTTGCTTTATCACATGTGATCATTAGAAGTTGGTATAACAATTTTGTAACGTGGTTGATTATGGTCCATTACACCTTAACTACACTTAGGTTACTTTTTGGGACATTGTTCATGTAGATCAAATTGACCAAAATGCCCTCAAGTGGAGGTTTGACTTGAATTGACCCTAGGAGTGTCCCTGTTTGACTGATTCAAAAGACCAACTTAGGGATCTTGCATGGCTGTACACTCTTTACCAAAGTTGTATCTAATTTATCAAGGAACAAAAGTTGTTTTATGATCATCTCATGAAAATGGCTAGAACATGCTCAAACATGGCCCACAAGTCAGAATTTCATGCTGATTTCAACACTGAAAAATATGCTAAGTCTTAATTGCAATTTCAGTTGGATCAAGCCCACTTTGGCTTGATGTAACTTCTGATCCATGGCGAATTAGATGATGGTCCTTGAAAAAAAATTGTAGATGGATGGTAGACCTACAAGTTTCATGTACGCTGTTTTTGCAATGGACCAACGAGTTAGCCGTATTGAACCGATGAAGTCGCACTGTCAGGCAATTCCCGTTGTCTGAATGCGATCTACAGTGACTGACAGTCATCAGACAACGAACGGCGCGTGTGTGCCACCCGTCGCCGGACTCCTGCTCGCGCTGCCACGCGCCGCGGACGCCCTGGACGGCCGGCCACGACTTGAGCAACACCCCGCGTGCCTGCCCGACCGGGTCATCACTTCCATTTGCTTTTCCTCCGCTCGCCTGTAGCTCCGCAGCAACAGAGCAGCAGCTCTGCCATTGCCGACCACGCGTCGCCATCGTCGTGCGCGCTCACCACTGCAAAAACGCGTCGGCCAGCTCGTTCGTAGCTTCGCCGTGTTCTTCTCCACCTCCTCCACCTCTTAGCCGTGTCGTTTGGGGCTTGGTAAGGGCGTATTCGCCATTTCCTCCACCGCCGCCATGGCGGGACCTCACCGGAGTTGGCGCTCCACGTGGCCAACTGCCACCGCGGCCTTCCCATCCTCTCCTCTGTGCTTGGTTAGCTTGGTAGTGAACTCCGGAAGCTCGTCCCGAGCTTAGCCGCACCCTACGAGGTCGGGTCTCGCCGGAGCCGGCCAAGCCGTGGCCGTGCGCCGCCATGGCCGTCACCACTCCCTCTAGCCGCTGCAATCGTTGCAATAAATGGGTCCTCTAGATGCGCATGGGTGAGGCGAACCTATTGGCGCCAATGGCCTCGCCGGAGAAGCCACCGGCGGTGAGCCACGCCGTCGTCTTCCTCCGTTCCCCTGTTTCTCTCGCTGACGCGCGGGTCCCCCTTGTCAGTCGCCGCTGCTGAGGCGGGAGCCTGACCTGGGCTGCGCTGCTTCTGGGCCACGCTGGCGTATGCGGGCGTGGGCTTCGCGGGCCGCCGGATCTGTTCGGGCCGGCCCAGCAGTAGAGTAGGATTTCTTGTTTTGTTTTGTTTTATTTATTTCACAGATTTGTGTACATATTCAAAAATATGTAGCTCTTAGATGGTAGATCCAAATGATGTGGTTCTAATTTTGTTGAGTTCATGATAATGTCTAGTATTTAATAAAAATATTATATGGGCACATGTTTCAGAAATTTTGGATGAATTAAATAGGACTTTGAGATGTGTTTTTAGATGCATGTAAACTTGTTTGAATTTTATCTTGAGTTTCTATAGTCCAAAAATTATGAAATTTTGTGGGTAATCTATTTTTGCTTAGTATAAGCTCTGGTTAAAATTTCCGAGCTAGTGCATGTGTAGTTTTTGAGTTATAGAATTTCCTTTTATCAATGGATGGATCTTGTGTGAATTTTCATAATTTTTCTATAGATCCAGTTAGGGTAAAAATTGGTGAGTACTGTTCTTATGCTAGAATGATGCTAGGAAAAATGTGAAATCTGTTGCTTGACACTTTTCATTAGGGTTTCCTAATTATGCTAAAAATAGACATGCTACCTGTTATTTTGGATACAACAAGTTCTGCTTCTCCAATGGCTTTGAAATTTTTATGGAAGTCTATGTGAAGCATGAGATAGCTACTGTAATTTTTGTAGATTTTTCTGAATAGTTTTACTATATATTGCTTTAATCACCTAATTAACTAAAGAAATTAGAAAAGGGCATTAAATAAATTGTTTAGAAGTTGGCACTAGACTTTATGATGTTTCTTTGGTATGCAAAACATGTTGGTAAACTTGGTTTGGTCCAATTATGCTTTTGCATCATTATTAAATAATTAATTTAGTAACCCTGTCATTTCTGGATAGATTCTAGGTTTACTGGAATTCGATTTGGTTAACGTAAGAATCATGCTTTGATGTTTACAAATGAATTGTAGAGAATTTCATAAGCTTTCCAGAATGTCCTCATGCAAGTCATTTGGATTTGTAGAACTCTGGTTGTGATTGAATTAAGGGACTACTTGTGTGCATATGAAACTTTAAATGTTGATTTATGTATGCCTTTACTATTTCTAAGTTGTGGTAATGTTCCTAGGTGT